CGCCCACCCTGGGAGGTGACCACATGGCATGTCAGACCTCTCCTGACCCCGCCTGCTGCTCTCCTCAGCAGTAAACGATCTGATCTGCCTGTTCTGCTCCCCACTCTGTCTCTGGTGAATGCTCTCACTGCCCCCGCACCTCTGGCCTGTAACCCAGTTCTGTATGCACAAATAAATTTAAAAAAAAAAAACATGATGGAGACGAAAATTCCTGACTAGTCATCAGTCTTTGACTAGGTTTTGAAACAGATTATCGAGAGAGAGAGTTATTAACAGCCATTGGATTAGTTGAAGCCAGTTTTTAAATCTCTTCTCTATAAATCATTGTTTTTCAATCCTGGATTAGGAAGTGGAGTGAGATTTACTACCCTGAAACAGAATACTGTTCATTTCTTATTTGGTAATATCACTGTCATTCTATTAAAAAAAAAAAAAAGAAAAGGTATTAAGTTCATCTGATATAGTTGGCTTTTCAGATGCCGTTTTGGTTATTTTCTAGTGTTTTATATGCTTCTAGTATTTTTTATGTTACTAATTAGCTGTTTAATTTGTTATTGCATGTTCCCAGGTTAAACTAAGCTAATTACCAAAATCATTTCCCCCTTGTTTTAAAGATGGGTATGCTTTCCCTTTTCCAGTGTGCAAGAATATTTTATTATTACTTTTATAGCAGAGGAAAACAGTGTAAACAATTATAAGGGAAGAGTAGAAAGAAGGTGACTCTTTTTGTAGTAGTTACGTCATGTGTGTCACCTATCCTATTTTGATAGTCAGAAATGTTTCACTAATTAATTCATTCTTTAAACTTCTTTGGACTTTATTATCTCCCTGATGGCAGGGGGAATAATTTCTCTTTAAAAATAGTAAATAAGATCATGCATACATCTACTGAGGCTGTTCTAATTATTTTTTCTGTTGTGTTAGGTTCAGTCAATCCTTAAGCCATTACAATGGGTGGTTTCTTTATCAAGGAATGAGCAAAAGGTTAGTCCTAGAGTGACTATTTTGTCACCTGATATATGGAACCATGACAGCTGATGATATTTTAAAATTTTAAATTCTCACTCTTGCATAATAGTTGTTATTGGAAGTCCAAATTTATGTGATAAGATAGAATTTGTTTCTCAGTAAAGGTTGAACAACTTTCCCAACCTGTTTGATTGACTTACAAATATATTTCAGTGGATTTCAAACTTCACATCATAGCTTATAGAACTGCTCCCCTCTCCAACCCAGCTCTTCTCAAGCTGTAAGGATGAAATTCAGAACACTTTCTTACTGTCTTCCAGGGAACCTGTAAGGGAAGAAGAGAAATAATTTTTTTTTAAAGATTTATTTATTTATTCATACAGAACTGGGGTACAGGCCAGAGTTGCGGAGGGTGAGAGGATTCACCAGAGACGGAGTAGGGAGCAGAACAGGCAGATCGACAAAGTACACTGCTGAGGGGAGCAGCGGGCGGGTCAGGAGAGGTCTGCCGCGCCATGTGGTCTCCTCCCGGGCAGGGGGGAATCAAACTCATGAGGAAGTGGCTTTAGATTCTCAGTGCTGTGCTTTAACCCACTGCGCCACCAGGGAGGGCCGAGAAATAATTCTTTAAACTGCAATTTAACACACTGATGTAAGGGTTTTGATGATTTAATATTCAGTTAGTAGCTCTTGGGTTAGCATTACGCTTCTTGTGTTTCTTTATGATCAACAAGACTTTCAGCTTTTCAGGGCCAAGCGCTGTATATAATGCATGTGAATAACAAGCTTATGGGGAAAAAAAATGTAATACTTAAGAGGTAAAGAGGGCCCTCTCCATGGCGCAACAGGTTAAAGTACAGCACCATGAAACTCATAGCAGCCTCTTCACTGCAAGTTCGACCCCCAGCCCTGGAGTTGACCCCATGGTGTAGCAGATCTCTCCACTGCAGTGTACTTCGTCAGTTGGCCTGTTCTCCTCCCCACTCTGTCTCTGGTGAATCCTCTAACCACTTCTTTACCTCTGGCCTGCACCCCAGTTTTGTATGCATAAATAAATCAATCCCCCTTTTTTTTTTTAAACAGAGGTAACCAATTTTGTTCATTTTTACCCTTACCTAAAGAACAGACCACTAAAGTTATATAGAATAAAATGAGGTTTTGTTTGTTTCTTCATTTTGGAAAATTCACATAAAAACCTTAATAATTCTCATAATAGTATTTTAAAACTTTCAAGCCTTCTCCATTGCTTATACTATTCTTTTATTTCTAAAGAAGTAGGTTTTCTCTCTAAAAAGGGAGCTAAAGCAAAGGTTGAATAATCTTTTACCTGTAAGATGTGCATATTTATGAAAAAAGTGTATACGTTTGAAAAATTGCATGTATTTTAATGCTCCTATTTACTTGTTACTATGGCAACCACCACACTGCCTAGTATTTATGTTGTCTAAGATTCAGAGCACCTTTTCAAAAAAAAAAAGCAAATATGCCAGAACCATGTATTGTACTTACTATGGTGTTTAGAAAAATATTTATTCTATTATATGTATATTTGAAGAAAAATAACAATAAATAGTGTAAATCTCTGCCTGGCTTAAATGGTATTTTCCTGCAGATGTTTTTACATATCAAAATAACTACATTTTTCCTTATTATAAAAATTAGAATAAAGAAAAGAGATAATGAATTTTTAAAATTCACAAGGTAGTTTTAAGAGGTAGTGTCTTCTTCATTTTTCTTTGACTTAATATTTTGAGTCATAGAAAAATTTTGAAAATATAAGGAATGAGCTCTTACACAAAATACTTAATGCTAGACATAAATAAAAAGTATAAGTAGTTTGTGTTTCTGACTGCATTCTTTAATATTTATGAACAAAAGATTTATATTTTATATTGCAATGAAAGACATGTAGTTGCTACTATATATATTAGTTTTATTATTTAAATTGTTTTATGACATGGGTGATACATAATTTCTTAATGTTAAGCATCAGAATGGGAATTATGAACATAAAATCAGACATGTTTCATGTCACGTATTACCTGTTAAGAAAAACTGCAACACAACACTTAGTACAACGGAATAGTGAGCATATTGTCTCTGATACTTGTAAACAGGATGGATCTGCAGTTTCACAGTTTATGTTGACAGTATCTTTGTGGGAAATGTAATTATCAAATGAATTATAACATGTCCTGGTATTATGATTATTAATAGTAATTTTAATTGCCTTTTTCAAGATAATTGGATATGTTCTCTTAAGCATATAGAAAAAGGGGCACTGGGCTAATTAGATATTTTGCACCCAGTTATCTTTAAAATATCTAGAAGTTTAACATATAGTATATTTTAGGAATTTCTTTTAATTATGTGACTTTCAAATTGAATTAAGACAATTTATAGTCCTCACTGTCTCTTGAAATTCCTCCTTTAGGAATATGAAGAAAAATTTTAAATAATAGTAAATTTAAAATTAAATTTTCATCACCACTTAGAACATTATTGTAAAATAAGAAAGGTTAATAAATAACATTTTTATCCCAATTGTGGTTACACTTTGTTTAAAGAAAGAGTTATAGCTCTATAAAGTCAAGGAGGAATTTCTGAAAACAACTAATTCAAAAATTTTAGTTGTGTCTAACTCAAGGGTAGGAGATTATAAAAGATTATATTTTTTACTTTTCATTTAGATCATAATGTTGACAGTTCTGTTGTGATTAATGTGGACATATCATGTTACGAGAAGTGAATCACTCAATTATCATTCAGATTATTTGTGGTAAGAAATTAAAATTGTGTTTATGTTCACTATAATTCCTCCATTTTAATGGAGGGACACTATTGTGCTATTCAATATTGAATCCATTGTACATAGTTAGTATACAGAAAATATTTGATGATTGAAGGATAGATGACCAGTTCAGAAATTAGTGAAGTGTTAATAGAGAAAACACCCTTGGAGGGCCACAGAGATATAGATTTAATGAAGAAACATTCTCTGAAGTGAATGGTCAGCCTTCAGGGAAAATGGTGAGGTGTCGGTTAAGGTCTTTGGCTCATATTTTTATCAGGTCATTTCTTTTATTACTGTTGACTTCTAAAATTTTAGTTTGTTTTGGATAACAGTCCTTTATCAGACACTTCTTTTGCAAATATTTTCTCCCTATTTGTCCCTTATCTTCTCAAACTCTTGATGTTGGCTCCCACATAGCAGATTCTTTTGAATTCAATGAAGTCCAAATTTTCAGTTATTTTATGGAGTGTGCCTTTGATATTTTATAAAAAAAAAAAAAAGTCATTGCCATACCCAAGATCATTTAAGTTTCGCCTTTGTTCTAGGAATTTAGATTTTATATTTAACGGGTTATTATTTGAGTGATTTTTGACTTAATTTTTCTGAAGGGTGTTTAATTTTCTGAAGAGTTTATGTTTAGATTGTTTTTGCATGTATATAATATATCTGATTGATTCATCACCATTCATTGAAGAGACTACTTTTAAATCATTGTTTGCCTATGCTGTCTTGTCAAAAATCAGTTGACTATATATATGCAGATATATTCCTGGGTTCTCTATTGTGTTCCATTCTTCTTCTTTTCTTCTCTTTTTCCAATACCATATTGTCTTGATTACTGTGGCTTTATCATAAACTATTGATGTCTGGTAGTGTCAGTCTTCTAACTTTGTTCTTTGCTTTAGTAATGTGTTGGCTATTCTGGGTCTGTTGCTTCTCCATATAGACTGTAAGTGTCAATTCCTCAAAATAACTACTGGAATTTGGATGGGGTCACATTGAATTGATAGATCTAGGTGCAAAGAACTGATATCATGACCACATTGACACTTCCCATTCAGGAACACGGAATATCTCTTCATTTATGTAATTCTTTCTCTTTATTACTTTTGTTGTCTTCTTCATATATGTAGAAGTAAATTATGATTAATACCCAGTCTCAATTTATAACTGTAAATATTGCCAATTACCAGGATTTTGTACTTTAAATATCATTCTTTTTCATTTTTAGCTAAAGATGGCAAAAATAGAAACAGAAGAACACAGAGCATCACTTTCTCAATCTTATTTATCACCCTTGATGAAAGCCACAGAGCTATCACAGCAGAGCAACAATGAAGGCACTTTAAATGGGTGTTCCTTGGACCCAGCTTACAAATATAATTCAAGTAATTTAATGAGGTAATAATATTATTTCATTATCAATATCATTCAATTAAACTGAATTCTGAAAAAAGTAAAAATGCGTCTAGAAAGTTGTCCATGTAAATGCTCAATGTTTAATGATGATGGCATTAAAACTGTGGAGAAGTGCTAGGCTGTGAACATTGTTGGGCCTGAGTCTTCAATGTTTTCTATTTCAGAGGAAGAAAAAAAGATGCATGATGCAGTAAACATAGATTACCCTTAGATACTCGATAGGTAGCGTAATGTTAATTGTAAAGGTGGCAAAACAGATAATCTTTGCTATATGTCAGTCATTATGTGTATCATTTATCCCTCATATCTATTTAGTTCTCAAATCAACACTGGGAGGAATGTAATATAATATTTTAATCATGAGGAAACAGAGACCTAGACTTTGCCTAAGATCACTCAGCTGGTGGAGAAAATATGGTTTGAACTCTAATGGATCAAACTCCCTAACTAGAATCCTAAAACTACTGTAAAACTACTATGCTTCTCAGAAGCATTAAACAAGAGGAATATGCATTTTTCCTATATCTTTTTCTAATAAAAACTGAACTAAAAAGTATCTGTCAGGTTTTGATAAACTATGGCTGGCTAAATGTGATGCCATGGTTTTTATAGTAAAATACAGAAACTATAAAAGCATCAAAGATAATATTCATAAATTTGGTATTAGGCTAATCTCCATATAAAAATACCAGGTCACACTTGTTTCTGACACAGGCTGAGTGTTTGTGTGAGTAATTAAGTTTACATGAAAGTGAAATATAGACTTCCATCCAGTCTTTGTTTTGCATTATTCCTCCTCTGAACAATGAATACATATTAGCCATTAATGAGATCATTTACACATGTAATTGCTATGTGACTAGATATATTTTTAGAAAATGATTACATTTTATTTGTATTGCAGAGGCATGTTACTTATACTGTTCTTCCCAACAAGAGTGGAAAAATTAAATAAGATTTTAACTATTCCTTTATATAGTTGCCAATTACAATGTAATGTATAGTTACACATTTTCTATTACCTTTCAAATTTATTTTTATCAGTTTTTCTTTTGACAGTGATACTCATTCTTTTTTTAATTCACCTGCTTTGTTCATTTTTAGATAATTCACTTCTTGCATTAGTTAATTGTACTTTTATTTAATTGGTTTCTGTTGTTTTTCTAACTTTCTTACATTCATTGAGTCTCTAAGTCATTCTTTATTTGTCCTTTTAAAAATATGTCAGTCAGTCTTTTCATGTGACACTTTCCTGTAACCTTTTAAAAAGTAATTTGTTTCAATATGCTTTTTTTATTTCTTTGTCTGATTCTTAACTTATTTTCTGTAACTGGTTGTTACCATCTGCTTGATTATGATGTACCAAGAAAATGAAGTAAATCTTTTGTTGATAATTGAATGGAAAAGACAGTGTCCATAAAAATTAAGTAAATGGGCCCTCCCTGGTGGCGCAGTGGATTAAAGCACAGCACTAAGAAGCTAAAGCCACTTCAGCATGAGTTCGATCCCCGCCTGCCCTGGATGTGACCACATGGCGAGGCAGACCTCTCCTGGACTGCCCGCTGCTCCCCTCAGCAGTGTACTTCGTCAGTCTACCTGTTCTGCTCCCCACTGTGTCTCTGGTGAAGCCTCTCGCCGCCCCTGAGCCTCTGGCCTGTACCCCAGTTCTGTATGCACAAATAAATAAATCTTTAAAAAAAAATTAAGTAAATGATGAATTTCAAGATAATGATGTTTCAACATAAAAGGAGCCGAATTCATAAGGGCTAATGATGATCTAAGAGCCACTAATATTGGTATGATTATCAGAAAGAGATAATTTTCTGTTAAAGTGAAGACATATTCCCCCTAACTGATGTAACTGATGTTCCTTCTATTTTCTCTTGTTACCTTTCTCCCACCATTTTGTGATTTTTTTAATGAGAATTACTAAAATATTATCAATTTGTTGACTCTTATGTCATGAAGACTTACTTTTCTAATTAATATGTTGTACTTTTAAACAAATTGTGCCCACATATATTAAATCCATTCATTGCACTGATAGTTATTAGTTACTTCATGTTCCTCTTATTATCTGAGGCTAATTTATTCTTTAATGTATTTATATTATCCACTCTTCTTTTTCTTTAAGTGTATTACTCTATGCTACATTTGTTTGTGGCAGTGAAAATTATTGTTCCAGGATCCTTCTTCCAACAGTGTAATGATTTTAACATATTGTGCCAAGAAGTCTGAACTTCCCACCTGGAAGTCAGGTATCTGGAAAAAAAAAGTAGTCACTTTGACTACTTTCTGGGAAACAGCACAAAAGTAAACTTTTCCTACCAGCTGTAGTCCAGTGAATTCCTAGGTGACCTGGAACAGGACACCAGCCTTTGCAACATGACTGGCAGAATCTATCATTTATTGGTAATAGGTATCCTGGGGTATTCTGCCATGTTTATATGGTACCTCTGAATGCTAAGTGAAAGATTTCAAATGACAATTACATTTTAAACTTAAGAAAATCTAATCATTATCTCTTTTTTATCCTACATATAATATGTATTGTTTTAATCTTTTTCTTTTAATTTTTTTTAAGATTTATTTATTTGTGCATACAGAATTCGGGTACAGGCCAGAGGTGCAGGGCTGGTTAAAGGATTTACCAGAGACAGAGTGGGGAGCAGAACAGGCACATCATTGAAGTACACTGCTGAGGGGAGCAGCGAACTGGTCAGGAGAGGTCTGCTCGCCATGTAGATCACCTCTGGGGCAGGCGGGGATTGAACTCATGCAGAAGTGACTTTAGCTTCTTAGTGCTGTGCATTAACCCGCTGCGCCACCAGGGAAGGCCCTGTTGTAATGATTTTTAACTGATGATTATCTAAGAGTATAATTTCATGATTTTTATAACATTTTACCAAATTTAATCACTTTTATATTCAGTTTTAATGATTTTATGTCACATTTCATTAGAAAATCTAGCAGTTGTAGAAAGCTGTTTATATCTTCCAAGGTTATTCATTTTGTCAACTTGAGGAAAAGGCAGGATGGAGGATACTGCTTTGTATACTCCAGAGGGCTTTATAAAGTTTACATTCATCAAACATATGTGGAGTTATTTCTTTTATTGATTGCATTCCAGTATTTTAAGCTGGTAATTATTATCTAATGTATTTAGGGTTACTTTCATTTGTGTTTGCATTTTTTTACATGAGTTCGTTCTAATTAGAGTTTAATTACCATTGAAGTGATTAGAGGATAAAGTTAAGTTTTACAAATGAATATATTGAAAAAATAACAACCCTTGGTTCTTTATGAAGGAGGTGCAAATGCTATAAGAATATAAAGTGAGAAGTAGGTATATGTCAAGTATATAATATAAATAATTTAGACGAAAATGGTTGACTTCATTTAGCAGACTGCCAAATAATGAGAGAATAAAAAATATTTGTGATATTTGATGTATTTTGTTGTATATTGTAAGTAATTGTTATCCATAAAATTTCTATGGTTTCTGAATAAGTAAGAGAGACAATTTGACAAGCAACAGGGGTATAAAACAACAGCAAGTACAAATTCTTGGCAACTGTCATTATTCTGCTGTTGAATTCACATCTAAACTGTGATAACTTAGACCTGTATGTTTGTTATTGAGCCATGATCTGTCAAAATAGCCATTTGATACTATACAGATTTATCTCATAGAGATCAAAACTTACCAAGGTTACTATGTGTTTTAAAAAGATAGGGATATAGGCCCTCCCTGGTGGCACAGAGGGTTAAAGCACAGCACTAAGAAGCTAAAGCCACTTCTGTATGAGTTCGATCCCCACCCTGGAGGTGACCCATATGGCGCAGCAAACCTCTCCTGACTTGCCTGCTGCTCCCCTCAGCAGTGTACTTCATCAGTCAGCCTGTTCTGCCCCCGACTCTGTCTCTGGTGAATCCTCGTCCTGCACCTCTTGCTTGTTCCCCAGTTTAAAAAAGGAAAAAAGAATAAAGATAAGAATATAAAAACTCCAAGTCATTTTATGCTTTATGCTGATATCTCTGTTAAATATTTTTGATTAACTAAGTGATAATTAGTTTATGTTTTAAACCATTATAAAAGTAATTCACTATTGGTAAGGGTTTTGAATAAAACTAGAATTAGAGCAAACATAATTCAGATTATTAATACCCAGTGCATTTAATGTGGTTTTCTTTATGT